CCTGCATATTCCACTACAGAGAACCTAGAAGAATTTCAAAGGGCATAAACAAAATATAAAAAAATAAAAATTTTAATAATTTATACCTTAGCCTAATCAATATTTTATTAGGAACATATTTTAATTAGTACAGAGAAGGAAAATGCCATTTCAGAATATTTGTCAGTATATTTTCTCTTATTGTTCTTTTTAGATTCTTGTCATGAATCAAAGTGAAAATGAAGAGCACATTGTGAAATAACATTGAGTAGCTACTCACAGTTCTAAATTCATGAACACACATTCCCTTCTGTACTGATTATTTTATCAGCTCTATTCTGCTAATTGCAGCATCTGAGTTATTCACATTGCTACAGATGGACAAAAGTTACTTGGAGAAACTATTTCAAGAAAATTTTTTATTCAGAACTACAAACCTCAGAGGAACTGCTCACTATCCTTTTTATCTTCTCTCCATCTCATTAATCTGAAGTAAATTCCTGCAGTATCAGGATAGGAACTCAACTTCAAAAGATCAAAATCTGCAATGTGTTCTCAAAGAACCCATTAAGTCAATTAAAATTACCTGGGTTTTTTTAAGGGAAAAAAGGATCATGCTCACCCATTTATTTCCAATATAACCATGCCATGCCTGTAAATGAGCCACTGTTCATGGCACACAGTGTCCATTTTGTATTGATTATGTATTAAATAATTACATTTTTAAGTAAGTAAAAGTGGCTTATTTTGTGCAACAGGACTTAATATGCATTTTAAAAAAATGTCACAGTGATTCACTTTTTGCAATGCCATAAAAGCAGCATATAAAATGATAAACATTAATGTATTGTATTAGAAGCAGCTAATCCAAAGCAATAAATTAGTTTTCCCTCTTGGCAGGCAACAACCATGGAAATGAATATTGCTGAATAATCTCTTGTGTCTTCCCAGCACTTCCCACCTCGTGGCCTTCTGCTGTCCACTGAAACCTTCCACACTCACTCTCCTGTACATTACACATTAATAGAAGCTTCTAATCAAGCCAGATGAGAGACAATTACTATTTATCTAGGGGAAAAAAAGCAAAATCTCTGTTTGAGACATTGTAAAAGGATGATTCCAAGATGAAGAACTACTTTAAATAGTTAAAAACATGTAGAGTACTTGCTGCTCCTATGTATACCAACACATATATAAAATAATTTCAGTTATGCTGTGAGAAAATATCACAAAAAACATGAAGAACAAAAGCCAACTAAATGTGGGCTGTGATAGCAAAGTACAGGTGCTGAAAGCATACACTTTCAGACATATAGCAACTTTCAAAAGAAAAACAGGAAAGTCCAAGTTACTGTCCATAAACTTCCGCATAGATCTTCTTCCAAAACGTTTAATTTTATCAATTTTCCTGTTGAAACAGATCCTACCATTTCAAACTAATTCGTTTATTTGGCAAATCTATTTTCATTTATAATCCTACTTTCCAGGATGGTTTTAAGCCTTCCCAATCTTGCCATTATTTGGCTGCATAACACAGCCATCCTTTAGGACACTGATGAAAGCCTCAAGCACAGGACAGATCCCACTGGAACCTTTTCCAATTTCACTGTCAACCACTGATAATTACCCTTTGACACAGGCTTCCAATCAAACACTTCTCCATGGAGCAGCAATTTCCTGTCATAGGCTTCCCACCAATTCATCAAAGGGAAATCTTTTGAGACAAAGTTTTCTTAACATCAATATGTTGTTACTGTTTTTCCATTATGCATAAGGTGTGTTTTCCTGTCATCCAAGAAAAATCAGATGTCTTTGACATCATTTTTGATAAATCCATATTGGGTGCTAGTTTAAGTTCCAATTTTCCCATCTCCGTATTTAGAAATAGCTGACAATTTTTAAAAGCATAGCTTAAAAATAATTCTTTGGTTTTGCAATAGTTTTTCAGAAACCACTATAAAAATATGAAACATTTTACTCATTCTCTCATTTCACTTCTTTTTTGGCAGGCAGACTTGCCCTTCTCCAGTCTCCTGGAAGGAGCTCCCAAACTTTGTTCAGAGACCCAGAAATCCGGGCAGGGTCACTTCCATCATGGACTGCCAATGTGAAAACACGTTTTAGTGTTCCAGTGTGAAAAACTCCTTTTTTAAGCAAGCTTTATAAGCCAGTAAACCTGGACACAAGGACAGACTGACCACTTTAGGAGAGATGTGATGGAGCACATCACCTTTTTTGTTCTTTAAAATTACAGCTTTTTGATGATTCTAATTTAAATCAGTTGTTTGCAAGAATCAATAGCCTCCTGAATGAGAGTGACAAACAAGCTGACACAGCCAGCTTGGGCTTCCAAAGCCACTCCTTGAGAAAGGCTCCTCTCCAAATGCTTACAAGAAAAGTAAGCAGCAATTACAGAAGAGCATGGGTACTTTTATACACAAATATTTGATTACAAGAGAGGAAATAACAAACACATGGCTGACTCCTAAAACCAACAGAAGACCCCTGGAGTTTTGCTGGGACCTGTGGCTGTGCTTTGTGCTGACTGACACTTCCTGAGCAGCCCAAAGAACAGGTTGATCAGTAAGATAACTGATTTTCCTCATGGTGTTTGGTAATTCAGGGCAGTAAAGACAAAAACCAAATGCAAAGAAGAATTTTATAAGACTAAGCAAACAGTCAGAGGCTGGCAGATGAAATTCAGGGAGATAAAAGAGGCACACAAGTGAAAATAATCCTACCTTTAAGCATAAAAAGCTTAAAGATTTGAACTGGTTAGAAAGAATGGTGAGGTATTTTTTAGGTATGATAAATATTTCCATTAAGATATTAGCTTAGTACTCAGTAGCAGCAAAAATAAAGGCATCCAAAACTGAAAAAAACAAACTAATTGCTGGGAATTTCTGTGAGAGAAATACAGAATAAAAGGGCAAACACTACAGCATCAACACCACTCATTTTACACCTTATCAAAAACATAAGATGTTTTGGTCCCCCTTGCCTGAAAAAAAAAATCCCAAACATTTAACAGGTCCGCAAAACATCATGTTAGTGCTTCACAAGGAATTATCACACATGGTAAGATGCTGCTGCCTGGAAAAGAGCTGAGGGAGGGATGTGATGATGGCACTGTAAAGTCCTAAGTGGCACTGAGACTGGCACCAGACATCAATTATTTATTGCTTCTTTCAGTACAAGGAGCAGGAAATCCTTGCAAAAGCAGCCACAGTCTAGTGCAAAACCAAATGAAACCAGCAGTTCCTCACAGGTATGTCAGGCTCTAAGAGCCTGTGGACACTGGCATTTTAAACAGGTCCAAAAGAAACTGGCAGAATTTAAAGTTGACTGAGTTATGAAGCACAAAGAAACAGCAGCTGCATCACAAGGAGCATTCTCTGGGGACACCACTGTGTCCTTGGCCTCTCCTGTGAATGTCTGGACACTCAGCAATGGAATAGAGCTACCCAATCTCTGTGCATTATGTTAAATATACACATAGAGCAAAATACATTGCTTTTGTCAGGTTTGCTGTTACAAGAAAATAAGAGTTTGTCAAAAAGATACAAAATGAATGAACTCATAACTGAGTTACTAATTTACTTTCCCTCAAGATAAGCAAAGATTATTTTATTATCTATTAAACAGATTTTAGGGGGAAAAATCAAAACAGAATTGTCACTGGTGTGTGACAAAGTCTCTAAACACCAGATTCAAATTGCAAAAGTCAATATAAGATATTAATGTGACATTTCCATAAGAAACACAGAGTCTATTAGGAGAATTCTCCCTTTAAGGTGATACCAACTATCACCATTAAAGTATCCAACCAACAAAGTTTTTGAGAAACAGAACCTCCACCATGCATTTTTTTGTTAATATTGGTTCTAGCAGCATCCTCGTGCATCTGTTATAAATAAATAAACAGCAACTACTATCGTCAGTCGGACACAAAAGTTATACAAGACAGTAATAAATTAATTCTTGCACTGAATTCCTGATGACAACCCAGTCCGTTTCCTACTTCAGTTTCCCACTGAAGTAACTGGTAACAGACTTGCCAGCTCTATAGATATTTAGGTTCATGACATGCCTAAAGGTGGAAAGTTTGCTGAGAAGCTCTAACTGATCACAAACTTGGAAGTAAATTAAAAATCTCAGTTGTTGCTGCCTGCCAGCAAAGAAGTTTAGATTTGGAATCTGGAAGTGAGAGAAACACAGGACTGTGTTTTTGTCTGGAGAAAGTTAACAGATGGTCTAAAAAGGAGCAGCTTTAAAATAAGACCAGAAGCCAAAAAGTGTGTGGAGAAAGCAAGGATAATTTTTTTTTAAATCTATTCTGTGCTGCTGTTTTGTATGCTTTGTATATGGAGCTGTATATTTGATATAGCAAAGACTCAAATTTTGACTTCACAGATTTATCCATCCAGACTAAAATATTTGAATCTTTCTATAACTTCAGGAAAATTATGTTACAATGTGAATAGAAGTATTTGAAACACATATTTACAAGATACTCATTTATTACAATGCAGGTCTCTGAAATTTTACTGAAAACTTCATTCTGTAATGCAGAACTACAGAAAGCTGAGTATGAGGATTTATCTTCTTTTAACTTTAAAACTGTTAACTCCCTGCACAGCTTAAACAAAATATGCCTCTGGATATTTATTTACACTTTTTCAAAAAGGGCTCATTTACCTCTTCAGAAAATGTTGCCAAGACAACATTTAGACAGTTGCAAAAAAAACCCTAGAGAAAGTTTCAAACATAAAAGAAAGGGTAACAACAATTGTTTTATCCATCTAAAATGTGAAGGGATGCTGCATGAAAGAAATTCTAATCTGCATTTGGATTCTTATTCGTGTGCTTTCCTGCAGTTTAGCAGTGAGAAGCAGATATTCCAAGACATAAAATTATTGTGGAAAATACCAAACTTGTGCCAGCACTGAATATGCTACCAAAAGCAAAACATCAAGTGCTTGGTTGTAAATCAACACAAAGAAACCTTCATAATTACTTACCTGATTTTCTTCATGGGAAACTCTCATCTGTTCTTTAAGAACTGACATTCTGGCTGCTTCTTCTTTCCTCAATACTCTCTCTTTCTTTAGCTCAGGACTCCAGAAAGTTTTGATGCTGTTCATAGAGGACCCCAGCTTGCTGTCCTTAATGTCGAGTTCTTTTCTGAGAAGGTCATTCTCCCTCTGTAGATCCTTCAGCTGAGCCTGCAGATCTAACATGGTGCTATCCCTAACCTGTCTCAGCATGGAAGGAACCTGGTGGTGGTGGTGGTGTGAGGATGCGGTCAGCCCTCCGTGCTGGTCGGCGTAAGAAAGGACATCGGTGTGTGACAGCCCGGCAGAAGCGATATTGGGGCTGCTCCCCATGGCTGTGACTCGGCCACCATACACAGCTCGGTTTGTAGCCCTTCCAAGAGTCATTGTGCCCTTTGGGAAAGTAGTAGAAGCCACACCCTCGTGGTCACTCAGGTACATTGGTCCGGATGTTGCATAGGCTGCGTTAAGGGACTGGATGTTCTCCATGGACAGCGTCTTCCCTGCCCCCCCTCCCCCGCTGCTGGTTCTCCTGTGGCCCAGCCGGGGGGACCTGGGCAGCCGGGGGGACCTGGAGGGGCTTCCCTCCAAGTTGCCGATTGTTCTTGCACTCCCATACATTTTTCTTCTGCTTTGAGGTACTGTTTAGTAAGAAACTAGTAACACTAAAGTTGAATGTTCAATTAAGAATTCCGGCTAGAAATACTGGCAGTTTCACTGCATTCTTCCAGTAGGCAAAATCTGGTTTTCCTCCCAAGACAGACCTGAAAAAAAATATTATAAAATTAAGTTTTCATTTTGGAAAATAAATTTACAAGTAATCACCATATAGCAGAAAAACCAACTTCCCAGATTAATAACTACAAAAATAAAACCTGCTGTACATTTTATATTTAGAATTATTAGTCAAAAATGCATTTTCAAACCAATTTCAATCAAAATAAAACACCTAATTTCTGTCTTGTTAGAAAACTTCAGGCTAGAACTTGTTAAACCAAGCTGGAATGAACAACTTGGGCCCAATAACATAACATGCCTTACCTTGTCACTTAAATGACTGACAACATGAAATTTATATAAAGAAAAATATTTATTATTGGCATAAAGAACTACCCTCTTAAAGCCTCCAGAATTCATTCCCAAGGCACAGAGATATAAAGCAATCTTGTTGATTTACTTTTTCAAGTTTTGGCATTTTAACATCACTGTCCCCATCTGCCCCTCTTTTCAGCTGCCATGCAGCATTCAAGAGATGATCCCACAACTTGTTCCCCCACAAGACCCTGTGCAGCTTTCCTGCTGCCTCAATTTCAACATATTAATCAATGAAAAAAAAATCTCCTCTAATTCTCAAGTGCCAGCCATCCTCTGGCCAAGCAACTCATCAATCCTCTGAGAAATCCATCCCTGTATCTTTCTCGGTGCCTGAAACAGTTCCACAGCTCCTTCATGGACAAATCTCCCATGAGACCAGAGCTGAAGATCACTTTCCTCCCACTGGCTCCTGGCAGATCCTGAGCAAAAGCAACAACAAATCTTCGGAATTGACAGAATTCACCCCACCCTCTTTCTCACTCAATAAAAAAACACAAACAAAACAAAATAAACGCTGCATAAAAAACACTACACTGGTGTGGTGAAAAAGCAATACTGCTAGCAGGAAATGCCAGTATCAATTTAAACTGTGCACAATAAAATATTTTTAGATACAGCAGCTATGATACACGGCCAGGTGGTGGGGTTGGATATAAATTTGTTCATCCTCAGAAGCAGAGGTACAGAATATTTTATCTTCTATCACGTCCATGCTGGTTTTCCTTTTCAGTTTGACAAATCAGTACATTTCTTGCTTAGAGTCACTTAAGTTACTTAGCCTTCTGTTTATGTCTCTGATATGTATTTTTAGGTATTTGTTTTGCCTTTTAGAGCTTATTAGTTGTGGTCTCTTTTTTCTCAACTCATGTAAATTTTTCGAAGTTCTCATCTCATATCAGAGAACACTTATCTTGCTTAGCACTCCAGTGCTCACCACTGAGCTCTACTGAAAAAAGGATCCTCATTCCCTACCAAAAGCAGGCTAACGTCTCACTGAACTTCTTAAACAATGTTCCAATGCTGACTGAACACTGTAACTTCCATAAGCCTGGGAAAATTCTGAAAGCAACAGCAAAAGAGAAGCAAAACACCGCCAACCAGTGTTATTACCTCCACAGCATTTTCAAATTCTTTTTTATCTCCCTAGAAGTATTCTAATCAAAACAGAGACCTCTGTGCTGTGAGCACAAACACACTGACGATACACTTGATTTTCTTACTTTAACAGGCTACTAAGGACAGCTCACAGACCAAAAGCTGAAAATCCTGACTTTACAAATTAAAATGGAGAAACCCTAAGAACTTTAGTTAGTTACCTTCTACAACCTGAATTATACAGGCTGGCTTTCCTACAACCTCAGAAAAAGGCAAGCACATAAAAATATGCCTTTTCAATGTGTGTACTTCTTAAGGATAAAATTGAAGCCTTCCTTTATGGCTGGGAAGTCTCAGACACAGTGGAAGCCAGACACCATTGCTTTATGAAAGAGGGGAGAAAGAGCACCTACATCATTTTCTGCTCTTTACGGCTTCTACATGGAGCCTTCCTAGCTTCAGGAAGATTTACTGTGTGTCTCAGCACATCAGGAACTGGAGACATGAAGAAGCAATACCAGCCTCAGGACCTCAACAATTTCCACACAGATCATCATCTACTGTCTGAAGAGAGAGGAGAGATCCCATCTTCCCACAGAACCAGCTGACAGAGCCATCCCAGCTGAACTGAGAGTGGACAGGTGAGATACAGACAGCTCTATTTTGAAAGGCAAATTTATTTTATATTGCTATTTTAATTAGACAAGGAGGAAGGAATACTAATACCCTCAAGTAATAATTCTTTACCTAAGCTGTAGGTGTTGCAGTAGCCAGGACAAAGAAGTCTCAAAGGTCATATCCCCCCTAAAACCTTCTCTGAGAAAAAAAGTCACCCAGCTTCACTCAGTCTGGCAGGGACAGACTGCAGACCCACTACACACATTTTCCTACAAGAGCTGAGTTTTAAAATCCAAATCAGATTACTACTAGAAAAAATCCAGATGCTCACCTGCTTGGCTCAGTATTTTCTTATTTTAAAGAAATTCCTTTAATGTACATGATGTAAAATTAACCATTATAATTATGAGTTTATTATTCTGCATTGCAAACAAAACTGTATTTTATGCAGATCCTTTTAAAATCCAGAAAATTAAGCATGCATTCTCAGCTGGGGGCAGGAGGGCAGGCACGAGACACTCTGCCCCATCCCCAGCAGACCTGACACCATTCACGCCAAAGTGCCCCCAACACCTGTTACAACTTGATCTTGCCTCATTCCCCACATTGCTGCCCCACCTGATCTCCTGCATTCTGCACACAGCAACATCACAGGCTCGTGTTACCCACCTGGCTCAAGTCTGACAACTCACTTGAATTGTCTTTTACTTCCTATTTTTTGAGAAACCTGGAGGATAGGATTCTGATGTGGATGCTACTAAAAGATCTCACTCAATTTAGTTTCCAAATCCTTACTTCCACATTGAGCATAACTACAGAGTTTGCTTGCAATACTGTGTCCACAGTACCCCCTAAGCTCTGATTTTCACTGGTTACACACCCTTACATGCTGAGGGATGATTTAAGCTTTTAGTGTCCCCTCCTGAGGCCTGAATCACCTCGTCAGCAGGAAGTTTGGGTATCAGCCAAATACTTAATAGCTTTGCACAACTACTTGCCAATATTAACATTGAGCCAAGAGCTCAAACATTTGTAAAAGTACCAAAAGCTTTAAGGAAACCTCTTCTGTAGAATTAACCTCCCCAAACAATATATGGCGACAGTTAAATGCAGAAATTATCAATCTGATTCCAAACTGTCTAAAAGTGTTTAGTACGATACAATTCCCCACATATAAACCAAAACAAGCAAAATAGGAAAGAAAAAAAATAAAAAAGGTGATGTAGAACACAATGCTCATATTTTCTCTGCCAGGACTGCACTTTGAGGCACCACAAAAGGACAGAGATTGACAGAAAAAAAATCTGTTCCATAAAAACATGTCCTAGCAAACATTGATGTCTTTATTTTGATAACATCTTTTAACTACTCTCATTTAAAACACAACCTCTCCATACACAGAAGACCAGGAGCACATGTGTATTAAAAGTAGTGACTAGGAGTCAGAAATATTTCCAGCACTTTCTTTTGGTTTACCTATGTTTTCTACTGCTTTCATAGTGGCACAATACATTCTCACAGCAGAGAATATTCTTTTCTTCACATTTTTTACTACTGGTGCTGATGTAAAAGAAAAACAAAACTAGCAAGCTGATATAAACTAGATACAGAGAATTCAAATCTGTTGTAGAGGAGCCTGCCTTTCTTCATTAATCTGAGTGGGCAGCCTGGCATCTCTTCTTTTAATAAAGTAAAGGAAAAAAAGATAAATACAATGCTCTTTATATGTTGTTAGTACAAGACCAGCATTGTTTCTATTAAAAGGACAAAGTACTCTCTTTTCCTACTTACCAGCCTGAACAAGCAGCTTCTTCTCCCCCACCTTTTTTTAATCCAAAAAAGAAAATAATCCATTTCTTCCTGCTATTCCTTACAAGTTTGAAAAACAAAGCATATATGACAACTTCAAAAGCAACATTTTCATTTAGGTTCCTTACAGTGTCCTGAATCTGCATTTCTTATGTAAATTTAAGTTTTACTACAGTCTGCACACTACATCTTTTTTTACTAGTTAACAGACATTAATTTATGCCCTCTCTTGTAGCTTGTTGTAAAATTACACATATGTATCTGTAAATAAAGTCAGTTCCAAAGCCCCTTTTAATCTTGTGAGCTGCTCATGTCCCTGAGCTCCCATCAGTGCTACATGGAAGAAATGGCATTTATCACCTCACAGGACCAGCTCACATCAGGCCTTTCCTTTCCCTCTCACACAGAAGAAAATAAGAAGGCAAAAGCAGGAGTGGCTGCTTAATATGGCTCTAATGACATACATGGCAAATAAAGTTGTCAGGCATTCTAAAGCTGTCAGGTGCAGTGACAGCAATGAATGCTTGTCATGCAATCAGAGAACTCCACCAACTGAAATATTTGCTCAAAATGCCATATTAAAAATCTTGAAAAGCAAGCAGCTCTGACACCATTATCAGGATTGTCAATTATATTACTCTCAAATATACTTAAGTGAAGGGTCAACAATACATTTTTAACTCTTTTATGCAAGTTTCATGGGTTTAAAACAAGCCTAGTGTTTAAGAAAGGTGCACTTCTTTCCAAGTATTTTACTCTTTATTATAATGTTTGAGACACTGCAATTGTTTTAAAACATAATAGATAGAAGTAGGCGTTAAATAATATAAATAATATCTAAACTCCACCATCTAAACTCCATTATTTGATAACTTTTCTCTGTTGCTCAAACTCCAATTCTTAATGTTTCATCTCTAACACTTCCATTAAAACAATTATTTCCTACAGTCTTGCATGTGACAAGTATCCTGGGGTTTCTAAGACACCCAAGGAAGGTGAGATATTTCAAATTTGTTTCATTTTATTTTTCTGATGTTATGTAAAATACTAAAGACCTGAAAATGGAACATGGAAAAAAAAAAGGCTTCTACAGCCAAGCAAAGGCAGAAGCATCACATCTAATTTTAATTGTTATGCCAGAGAACAC